CTGTGTCCTCCCCTCTGTGTCCTCCCTTCTGTCCTCCCCTCTGTGTCCTCCACACTGTGTCCTCCCTTCTGTCCTCCCCTCTGTCCTCCCCTCTGTGTCCTCCCCTCTGTCCTCCTCTCTGTGTCCTCCCCTCAGTGTCCTCCCCTCAGTGTCCTCCCCTCAGTGTCCTCCTCTCAGTGTCCTCCTCTCTGTGTCCTCCCCTCTGTGTCCTTCCCTCTGTGTCCTCCCCTCTGTGTCCTCCCCTCTGTGTCCTTCCTTCTGTCCTCCCCTCTGTGTCCTTCCTTCTGTCCTCCTTTCTGTGTCCTCCCCTCTGTCCTCCCCCCTGGCCCCTCCCCCCTGTGTGGGCGTGAGCAGAGATTATGGCCTGAGATGGCGTTCCCATGAATCCTCCCGTAAATTCCAGTGAAGAATGAAGGTTTTCCTGCGGGAGAACAAATTCTTCCTGATTTTATTACTGTGATAAACTCAGCTGTCGAGCTAAAGGGAGCAGCCGTGCTGTGGTTCTGCTTCATTTCCATGAAAACGATCACTACAACAACAAAGGTCCGATGAACGCAGCACGGGGAGACGTCACTGCCGAGCGGTGGCGTGAAGCCCGACCGACACCGTGAGTCAGGCAGACGTGCAAAGAACAGCTCGTCACGAGTGGACCGAGGAAGGAGGTGAAAGGTCAGGCAGTCATTAGCTCTTATTTTTCGTCGCATTTCTTTCACATGTGCCACAGAAAAAAAACATGCATATGTCAAAGGTCGTGCAGCACAGGAACAGGAGACCTGACAGGAAGCTGTGAGAACCAGCACAGCTCCACTTCCCCTGCCTGTAAAATGCTCCACGAGTTCATGTTTTTAAGTTTTCAGGTGAAAAGTCGTAATGCTGTCGTAAAAACACGATCGTCTCACCTGAAGCTTGAAGCGTTTGCTGCCCCAAACACTCACCTGCTGACCACACCTGTCCATGTGAAGCAGGACGGGCTCCGCCCCCGAGACACGTCTGAATACTTCTACAGACAGCAAACGTTTATCCTTTCTGTGTGTGTGTGTGTGTGTGTGTGTTACTAATGATGCTGATTATCTCTCCTTCCAGCTATTTGTACAAGAATGAAATCCAATCAATTGACAGACAAGCATTTAAGGGGCTTGTCTCTCTAGAGCAACTGTAAGTGACCTACTTCCTCTTCCACCTTTTCCTCCTGCTCGCAGCACCGCTCCTCCTCCTCCACCTCCTCCTTCTCTTCTCCAGCTGTAAATGCCTCCACCCCCTCCCCCCTTCCTGAAAAACAAACACTCCATAAAGCCTGGCAAAGTCTCCGTCATGTGACGTATTATCTGTGAGCATGCTCTTGTGGCATGACTGCAGACTTTGCAGGTGTCATGTTTCCCCCACAGTGTGCTACGCCCACCCTTCATCCACCTTTCTGCTGCCACCGTGCATGCCGTGACTGCAGCCCCCTCGCAGCTGCGCTTGCCTCCCGTGACCCTTTCTGCATGAGTCACCAGTGTTTCCCCCACAGCTGCCCCCCCACCTCTAACTCAAACCGAAGGATGGACTCCGCCTGTTTCACATGCACTCGTCACAGTTCCTCCGTTGGCCCTCGAGGGTGAACGTCGTTAGGTTTACTGAAGCCGGATCACAAACTCAGATCCCGATCAGCTGATCTGAGCATTAACAACCACATGTACTGTGAAACCTGGACGTGAGTGGGGGAAACACTGGCTTCATGCCGTGCGGTCAGGATGGCGGCGACGCTGCGCCCCTCCCTCCTGTGAAGCTTGCAGCATGAACTCACCTGCGCTGCTGGGACGTTCAGCACGGCTGCTGTGGAGCAGCGTGTCTGCGCGCCGAAGCCTGACTCGCTTCTGCAGAAACAGCTCCTGCTCTGATTCGCTGTAAATTTGCTGTTTCTTTGTGTGAAATCTGCATCGTGTGTGTTTAATCTGTGTGATGCAAATCCTGCCTGTCAGAAACACGTCGAGCGCCGTAAACCTGCATGTCCGACAGACGTATGTGTGGCTGTACACGAGGTTGTAAATGTGCCGATGATCTGCTGTTAGGCTTCTGCTGCTCTGTCTGCTGAGAAACTCAGTAATCTGTGAGGAGTCTGTGACTCACTGTTCTTCGCTGCAACAGAGAACAAACGGCCAATTCACCAAGTGCACTCCAACATCTGCTTTGAGTTTCACTGCAGCGTATATGCGGGCTTTGAGTTTTAATGGTCCTGCATCATCGGGCGACGCATGCCAAAACCCGAAGAGTGGCCCAACACCGCTGTTCGAGTTCATCAGCGTGCCTGCGGTTTGTCAGGGAATCGGACCTGTGACGACACCGGAGCGAAGAAACCTCAGGGCCGAACACGTCACAGCCCGGAGAGCCGCGGATTCATGAGTTATCAGCTGATCACCGATGACATCAGCTCGTCGGCAGGCGTGATGCGAGTCACGTATCGGTGACAGTTTTTCAGTCAAATCTAGAAAAATGAAATTTTAAAACGCCCAGAACATCATCGGTAACTCCACCGTTTTATGTCATCGCTGTAACTGAGCGTGCTCAGACGGAGGGTTACTGATGTCCCCGTGTACGCGAGGGTGCCTGGATCATCATCATCGTAATGTTGCATATCACACTGTAGTGATGTCATAGTTTTGCATCATCACCCCCCACCCTGAGCGGACCCTGAGCGCCCCATTTTTTAAATTTTTTTGCTGAATGGACGTAAGCAGTTGCACAACTATGACATCACAGCAGTGTGACTGTGCACTTGAAACCTCGACAAACATGAATTGTGATGATCCACAAACCAACACGGGGACATCAGGTGACTCGGACGCCCGCCGCTTCCTTCAGTACAATGAAAGCTTGAATGAGCAGTGATAACCTGCTTTCAGCACTGACCTGTGTCTGAGTTTCTCCTCGCTCTGCGTTTTGTTCTTTGTATAAAAGTGAAACGAGTCGTGCCTCAGACAGTGACAGTAAGCTCCTCCCTCTCTGAGTGTCGGAGGCTTCGGCAGAGCTGACAGGCTTTCGCGTCACGTTCGAGGAAACGTTTCCCTGAGTTAAATATTTCCAGCTCGTCTGCGTTTGTTTGGTTCCCGTAGCAGCCACACTGGGATGGTTCTGAAAGCGTGACGATACCGTCGGTGCGCTCATTCTGGAATCAGCTGACGGCTGTCTGGAGGTGTTTCTGTCTGCTCTGCTGCTCTGACCCTCGCCCGGCTGAACCTCACAGCTGTTGGATTTGTTTACCCCGCTCTTGTATATGAGCTTCCTTCTGTTTGCTTTCCAGTAAACAATCAGCGTCCCTGCTTTTCACTCAGAATCAATGATAGAGTCACACAGACAAGGGGGGTGTCCAACTGCAGGCCTCGAGGGCCGCTGTCCTGCAGGTTTCAGACGTCTCGATCCAACACAGCTCAGTTAAATGACCTCGTCTCTAGAGGCTGGTAATGAACTGATCATGTGACTCTGGTGTGTTGAGAACTAAAACCTGCAGGACCCCGGCCCTCGAGGCCCCTGCTGTAGGGCCAGATTTACTAAAGACTGCTTCAGCTTTAAAAAGTACTTCTGTGATTTACAAACGAGCGTCGGTGCACAAAGGTCTGGGTGCAGTTAATTCATTGTTCCACTTGATTTAAAGGAGTATTTAGGTTCCCATCAGGCTGCACCATTGCAGCGTCACGGCGTGCTGCGCTGGCTGTAATCTGTGATTTTTCAGTCTGTTTGTTGGCCACAGTTGGCTGTGAGTCAGATTCCTTCCTCTGACTTTAATAAATCCCCGCGGCCTCGTGCAGCACGGAGAGAACAATGACAGCGTGCACGCTCATGCACGTAGCGCTCTAACTTCATTAACACTCGTGGGTCTGACAGTAATGCTCAGTGTTCTTCTTCTGCACATCCTGCAGGATGGCTGCCTGCTGCCCAGCCTCAGTTTCCATCAGTTTGTTCTGATGATAAAGTCATTGATTCTCTCAGAGCTGCCTCCATGATCCTAACAGGCGGCGGTTTCCAAAGAGGCAGAGACGAGTTCACGCTGCCCTGTGTTTGTGTGACCTCATCAGACCTTCTTCATAGATCAACCCAAACCTTTGCTCTCCCTCTGTAGCATCTTCATGGTTGCAACCTGCGTGAAGTAAATCTGGCCCTGTAGCTTTAAGATAAGAGCCGGTGAAGCTCGACAATAAGATCACATAATCCAGTTTTACTCTGCTTTGTCTACATTCTGCTCTCTTCTGCAGGTACCTGCACTTCAACAACATCGAGTCTTTGGAACCAGAGTCCTTCACTCATCTACCAAAGCTGGAGCGACTGTAAGTCCATCCTGCCTGAGCATTCACCAAAAGCTTTTCCGAACTGTAATTTTAAGATCCGTAGAATAATAGAGCCACCGGTGCGACTGGATTTACTGTGACAGTTGATAGAAACCAGAAAGCAATAACTAGCATGATGTAGTTGGCGGGGAATGGAAGGAATGGCTCGGAAAGAAAGAACGGAGAGGCTCGCGGAGCCCAGATCTGAATTTGAAGCAGATACATGCCAGGAAGCGCTCGAACATCCTTCAGCTGAAGGAATGTGGGCTGGAAGAGCGCTCAGACATTTCACTGATGTCAGAGGCTGCAGGACGTCGTGCAGGGTTGGTAGCACCGTCGCTCCCTGCATGTGTGTGCTGCAGGGTGTGCAGGAGTGTGTGCTAAGCCCCTCCCCCTCCACACACACACAGTTTCAGGACCTCGACTTTGGCTTTCAGTATTTCTTCAGCAGTTTTGAGACAAATCAAGTGTGATTATTTTTCCCTGACCAGCTTTGACTATCAGTATTATGGGATACATCCCAGTTTAACTATCCTGCAGCAGTGCACTGCCTGTGCTGTGCACACTGTAAGCACCTCCTTACAGTATAAACGCGGCACACAGACGTGTGTCGACTTTCGGGCGTGGCGGGCGATCGGCAGCAGGTGTCCTGATCTCTTTCACTGTTTATGAGCCAGCAGGGTTTCCACTCCTCCCAGTCTACTGAGTAAAGGAGAGGAAGGACACCTGCTGCACGGGGAAAAAAGCTGAGGGTGGAAGTCCCAGGTGCACACTCCGGTCATGGTTGGGAAATTTCTCTGCGGTCAAAGCATCGAGAGAGAGATGGAGAGCAGGATTCTGTGGATGGCGTTCCTGAGGGCGGGATGGAAGATTAATGTCATTTTGTGTTATTAAAAAGCCAAAAGTCGGGGGAAATGGGTTTGGCCCGAGACTCGTGTAAACAGGAAAATGTTTTCGTGCCTGCGTGTTAGTCAGCGCGAGTCATCATCTGGGAAAACGATCATATTTCTTCTCCCATCCCAAAAGATGCTATTAAAGGCAAATATGTCCTGTTATTAGTCGAGCAGATCGATTTTGGGACTGTGTGATCCCTCAGAGTGTTTCCTCACTGAAACGACAGATTCCTGCTTGACGACTGTGATGTTTTTCTGCCTCTCTCAGGTTTCTGCACAACAACAGGATCACCCAGCTGGTGCCGGGAACCTTCTCTCATCTTCAGGCCATGAAGCGACTGTAAGTGGAAAAGACAAGCTCACAAACACATGCGAGAGTCTGTGCTCACTATCAAACAGGCGTGTTTATCAGTTAGATGCCATGAAACTGCAGCGAGCTGTTCTCATGCTCGCCTGCAGCGCGCTGTTCTCACGCTCGCCTGCAGCGCTCGCCTGCAGCGCTCGCCTGCAGCGCTCGCCTGCAGCGCTCGCCTGCAGCGCTCGCCTGCAGCGTGCTGTTCTCACTCTTGCCTGCAGCGCTTGCCTGCAGCACTTGCCTGCAGCGCCCGCCTGCAGCGCCCGCCTGCAGCGCTCGCCTGCAGCGCTCGCCTGCAG